GAAAACGCCGGTTTGAATTTTAATGAATGGTGTTTAGGTGCTGTCTTTTATGTGGGTATATTACGCAACTTTTGGCGTCAACGCATTAATGAATACGACAAAATTACTGAACTTTGAATCCTATGGAAAATTCAGGAAAAAGATTCACTGAGAGATAATCGATATGACATGTGGATTTTCATACTTATTGTGAAAAGATCATTTTGTAAGTATTTCTATGCGATTTTTGGTTCAAAAAGTAATGTGCTGGCACATGTAGGGGAGATTGGGTACATTTGTAAAAATTTTTCTTCAATTTCCCACAGCACAGCTGATACAGCTGCAAACAGCGATCAAATACTTGTGAGATGGAAGCATAGTGATTTATATTTGAATTTATATCAAAATCAGTCTCTCGTGTGAAACAGTTTGACAGGAATATGCCATTTTAACTGGTATGGGGTCGGTACAAACGACCCCAAACCAGTGAAGTTGTGACTGAAAACCTTATAATGGGTGATCAGTTTTTCCTGTCCATATTTGTTGAGTTTTTCTTCTTTAAATTATCTCTGGAACTAATAGGAATCTTAATTTTGAAACATCATTCCGACGTTTCGTCACCTAGAAACCATCATCGATTTTNCTAATAGGAATCTAAATTTCGAAACATCATTTGAATAAGCTCTAAAATGGGCAACTTCCCTTTTTCACCAGATAGTGACTTTTTCCCTCATCAGAAAGGTTTCAATTTGTCTTCAAAAAATGAAAAGAACTGTTAGTCGGTAACAAGTCCAATAAAAATGAATAATGGGGCTTTAGAATTCTTCGAATTGTACCCTAGTTATAACCTGCAATTGTCCAGTTATAAAAAATAGATTGATTTCACTCAATAAACTAGATGTCTGGAGGCACTAGATCAAATAAATCTGAAATAAATAACCACCGAACTTTACAAGGCTAACGGCACAGTCAACAGGTCAATTCGACTAGGACCAATAAATCCCGACCCGAAATCCTTTGACCAGTTTTCGCATCCTCAGCTGCCCCGTGGTTTCAGATCCCTGAACAATTGCCATCGTAACCCGACAGCGTGTGATGTCGAGTATCCCGCTGGTCCGATAGAGTCCAGTAAGGGTTGTTTGTCTTTTGTTCGGCCTCTGCAACATTCTCGCTGACCGGGAGATTTCTCTCGCTTTGCACCGCCAGACTATTCCAGAGTTAATTTGTCCTAATTTGGTGTCGACTTAATATAGCGATTTAATGGATAATCGTTCAACAACGAAATTTTCATTTCATTATCGTATATGTACAAAGGCTCTGAATGGGTCACATCATTTTATTTTATAATCGACAGTTCAAACTGTCGACAGTTCAAACTGTCGATTAACCATAATCAACAGTTTGAACTGTAACCGACGGTACAAACTGTCAATTATGTCTAATCGATCAGCTATAACGACGGTTCAAATTATAGATTATTGACACTTGAAACTGCCGATTATATATAATCGACAGTTTGAACTGTCGATTATATATAATCGACAGTTTGAACTGTCGATTAGCCATAATCGATTGAACAGACGATCGATAAGTCATACTCGATAGTTCAAACTATCGATTATCTATAATGAACAATGAAAACTATCTAGAATAGACACTTCAAAGTGTCGATTATGTATAATTGACACTTTGAACTGTCAGTTGGCCATAATCGATGGTTGAAACTATTGATTACCTATAATCGACACTACAAACTGTCGATTATGTATGATCGATCAGCTAAACGATGGTTCAAACTGTAGATTAAACTGCCGATTATACATAATCGACAGTTTAAACTGTCGATTAGTCATAATCGATGAAACAAACTGTTGATTAGCTATACTCGATCGAACAGATGGTCGATTAGCCATAATCGACAGTTTAAACTGTCGATTATCTATAATGAACAATCCACACTATCGATCATAGACACTTCAAAGTGTCGACTATATATAATTGACAGTTTAAACTGTCAATTGGCCATAATCGACGGTTGAAACTATTGATTACTTATAATCGATCAGCTGTAATCGACGGTTCAAACTATAGATTATCGACACTTCAAACTGCTAATTGTTTATAATCGACAGTTTATTCCGTCGATTATTCATCCCCGACAGTTTATTCTATCGATTAGCCATAATCGACCGTTGAAACCATCGATTATCTATAATAGACAGAAAAGACAGTCGATTATAGACACTTCAAAGTATCGATTATGTATAATTGGCAGTTGAAACTGTCGATTAACTGTTCAAACTGTCGAAACTATCGATTATCTATAATTGACAGTGCAGACGGTCGATTATCTATAATGAACAATACAAACTGTCGATCATAGACACTTTAAAGTGTCTATTATGTAAATTCAACAGTTCAAACTGCCGATTTACCATATTCGACAGTCAAACTATATAATCGCATTTCAAACTATCGACCATCTATGAATCAACAACGAAAACTGTCGATTATCGATATTTTAAAGTGTTAATTATGAAAAATTGACAGTTCAAATTCTTCATCGCCATAATCCAATGTTCAAACTATTCTCTACTGAAACTGTTGATTATCGAGCCTAGCACTGTCAATTATATACAGAAAGAACTTCCTCCAGCAGTACTGGATGCATTTCTCTTGAAAATTGATCGTATGCTTCACCATTTAATCGAGGAGGTAGAAAATGAGGCCCAATTAAATCATCCCCAAAAATTCCGAGCCACACGTTAAGAGAAAACTGTTCTTGATGGTTAGTTTCGACAATAACGTGAGGATTTTCATCAGCTCATATGTGGTAATTATGAAAATTAATAATCTTGTCCCTAAAAAAACTACATTTGTCTGTGAATTCTATCGTCTTCAGAAAGTCACAATTTCTTCTAATCATTTCCAGCATCCAATTGCAAAATTCAAGACGGTTCGGAAAGTCTCGCGGTAACAGTGCCTGTACTCGTTGCAGATGGTAAGG